CTGAAATTGATGGAAGATTAATGAATTCGTTTCAGCTCTCACAGAGCATCCAAAATGTTTATTTTAGAAGTAAAAAAAAAAAAATAGTAAGAAATTACATCACAAAAGTACATGTAATAAGAATATGATAAGGGTGAATGAAATAAATAAATAGCTTTTATTAAACTACAAACCTTTCATAAGAATGTTGCTGGCGTTTTCACTCAGACCGTAAGGATTTTAGGCATTTGATTCGCTTTCAGCACTTGCAGATCGTTTCTTGAGAAACTTATTAATAGACAGCTGTTTCTTTCTTGACTTTAAAATGCCACGAAAAATAATCAACGCAACTTTCGTTTAACAAAGCAGCCGGACGACTTACACTTAATTTTTGTGAGTGGTATTTTTCCACATCGCCAGCACTTCTTTGATCTTAGTTGTGAAGGGCAAAATACGAGACACTTTCCCCCACTTGGCTATTTCCTTTACCTCCTACATGTTTTGATGCTCCTGAAGCAGCTGAAGTTCCTCTGTCGTCGGCTCCTCTCCGTTCTCGTCGAGAAAGGGAGGCAATCGATATCGTTGGTAGGAGATGCTATCTGTGATAAGTACTTCGAAGAATTTTCTCCAATATAACCAATAAATGTTCTGGACGTCAAGCGTTCTCTGATGCGCTTCACCTTACCTTTAACCGTGTTCTTAGAAATAGATGACGTCAGTTGGAAATACTTTCCTTTACATCACTCACCAAATGCTTCCGTATATGACGATTGCTCGAACTGCGAATTTTTACTCGTCCTACGACACAAAAATGCGCACGAATAGCATCTCGTAAAGCAAGTTGCTCGTATAATGATGCATTTGTACAACGAGATTCTACTATATATATATATATATATATATATATATATATATATATATAAACCTGGATATTTAAGAAGAGAGTTGTCGGGACCGGATAAGTCCTTATATCCGGGTTTCTCTTATATCCGTGTTTGGTCTATTTTGTTTAGGTAAGTATGGGCTCTAATTTGGGACCAGGGAAATCTCTCTTATATCCGGGTTTCTCCTATATCCGGGTGTCTTATATCCGGGTTACACTGTATATGGTGTATCTGCAAAATTGTCCAAATCGTGTAACAACAACAAAATTGTCAAATGATTAAAGGTATCTTACTGGAATTCTCCAAGGTTTTTATAACGCTATTTTACTTTGAACATTAAGTATATATAATTACTTTCCAAGCATAACAGATGAATTATAATTATAATTAATTATAGCTAAGGATCAGAACCTCATGTAAGATTAAAATAAAGTTGAATATATATATATATATATATATATATATATATATATATAGCACTTCCAAAAGTGAAATGAAACGAAAAATGAAATTAAAATTGATGGGTTGTGTAAGTTTTTGTAATTTAACAGAGAGTGTAAAAGGAATAGTTAAAGAGACATGGTAGGGTATAGAGAGGGATTAATTTCATATCTCTCTCAATCATAATTAGTATTGGGGGGAGGAGGAGTGTCCAGACCATGACCTATTTAGACGGTTAACTTAACGGAAGTGATATATTGAAATATGAGAGGAGAAGGGAGAAAAGAAAGAGGAAAAAGGGAAAAGAAAGAAGAGGGAGAGGGTAGTAAAGAGAAAGAGGTTGTAATTGTGTTTTAGTAATTTATATAAAGAATAGATTTTAATGCTTGATAGTAATTTAGATATAAAAAAAAAGCCGAAGAAATTAATATGATGCTTGCTATCAATTTAAATATTTAATTTTTTTTACAAATAAATTTAATATAAGTTAAATACTATATTTATTAACACATTTATAGAGAACATATTAAAAAATTTAGATTATAACAGTTTGTTTACTCGACCAATCGTACTTTTTTAATATTGTAAAAAACAGTTACGGTAACATCTTTATCAGTTTGAATCTAATTTATGAATGTAATTTGTAATTATATATGTATATATATATATATATATATATATATATATATATATATATATAGTATTCACTCAGATTATTCCATGATAATTTTCCAACTTATTCAAGATGATATTCACCCTCTCTAACCTTCTAAATTTCTGTTCTGTAGTAGCAAGGTTCCTCACAGGTTTCACGTACGATTTCAGCTTCAAGTCTTTTCCACTGCTCTTTGGACTGTCATAGCTGAAATTCTTCTCTCACTTGCAAACGTCTTATAGATTCAGTTGGATCTCTGATCTATTAAGCTCTAAGTTTACATGATGATCCCCATTTCTGTTGTGACCGCCTGATCTACCTTTTCTCTCTACTGGTTCTTTTTTTAAAACTTATTCTCTTTTCTCCTCATGGTTCTTGAATGGATTTCGAATATTGAAGAATATGAATGTTGATGCCATTACTGAAGGTGTGAGTGATCTTTTTCCTCTCAGAATTGCTCAGTTGGTAAGACAGTGGGTCTGATGCAAAACGGTTTTAACCTGTCCTATTTCTAGCTATATAACTCAAAGTTTTTTTCAGCGATTCTTATAACAAATGCTAGCAAGATGGCTAAAAGCCTTATCTGAAAATCTGGAAAAAAATAAACCCAGTTATTTTTAGACATTAAATATTTTGTGGGATGGACAATTATGCTGTATGTCGACCTGAGAAATTTTGGTGCTACATCCAGTGCATATATATATATATATATATATATATATATATATATATATATATATATATATATATATTAAAACATATTATTGTTTCTATCATTTGTAGTATACCTCATAAATCAACAACAGCGTTCGCAAAGGGACCTTATAGCTTATTATGCGTGTCGTTGAAAAATGCTTGAATTTTCTAAAAAAAACTACCTCACTAAATAAAATACGCTTCTTCTTATCGACCAATAATGTTATTAAAATAGAATACGGTCCTTTCCCTAATCTCTCTCTTTCCATATATATATATATATTACATGGAGAAATCGATACCCATTTATCTCAATCGGATCTTTTTTTTTACCTGGAACTAATATCGAGCCAGCCGTTAAGTTCTGCATCGATCCGATTGCACTAATCATAGAAAAAAAAAAACATAAAAAAAAAAAAATCCTCTTCACATCAGGTATACCGGTGGAGGTAAAGCTCTGGAATAAAAACTGGCCCTGCGGGTACACGTGACCCAGCATGCTGTCGATTTTATAATCGTCACGTCGATGGCATTTCGAGATTAGTACGCTAGTCTTTGTGCGTACAAAGGGGCTGGGGTTTTCGAACTGAATCTAGTCACAGATCGTTCTAGAATGATTATTATTCTCACATAAACATGCGCATTTGGAATGAAACAAAAATTGCTACAAGTTTTATTTATCTTTTTGCTATATTTATTGATGTTGCAATGAAGAATATTGTCTTGGAAATAGCAAAATGGAAGCTGTCATCCTGGAATTATGAAGAGACTTGAAGCAACAGAAATTTGGTTCTACAGAAGGATGCTGAAAATGCCATGGGCTGAACATATTTTAGAGAAGATAAAAACAAATGGACACTAATACTTAATGACAGGAAGTGACTGAAGACAATTCTAGAGCAAATAATGAGGAGAAAGTTAGCTTAGTAAAATTGATATTCAAAGGGTAAATTGAAAGTAAAAGGAACTTTGGAAAACAACGCATAAACTACCTCGCAAGCTTGAGTAAATTGATGCCGTACAATATTTAGGAGAGATAACAGAAAGAAAAAATTACGAAGGACAGGAAATCGTGGAGATCCATGACTGCCAATGTCCTGAAGAGACATGGCACACAAAAGTAGAATGATGGTAGCAGAGTTCTGATCTATGTAATAAACGAAATTTTTCTTTCGATTTATGCCTAAGTCCAATTCCATTTTTTTACAGAATCTATAATCCTATTTTTTTAATATTCTGTTTGACGAACACCTCAGTTCAATTCAACGATCTATATCGCCATTGCAATACAAATTTCATTTTTAATCTCTTTTAGGTCTTCATTGTCATCATCATCATCATCATCATCAGTTCCATGCCCTAGTGTGGTCGTACAGTTACGGCGCAAATGAGCACCTGACCTGCTATTTCCACATGTCGAGTTCGGACTAGGAGAATTATACGCTCGTAAGTAACAGGTTTCGGGCAAGTAAACCCGGCGAGGCCCATCCCACTCCAGGTAAAAGCACACGCAATGTTCTCCGGTTTAAAAAATCGACTTCGGACACGGACACGCTGAGGTTGATTCTATTCTGCCTTACCCGTTGACTTCTGTCTTGAAAGCCCTCCGACCAGTGATGGCATGCCATCATAGCACATGCCTCATGCATAGCTAGGGAGACCGGTGTGATCCACTGTCTTGATGACCGTTGACCATACAGGAGAATTCATCACTAGTGAACGGTCTTATTCTTTATTTTTATTCCGGTTACGTGTCTATCATCACTACCCTACACGCAAGACGCTAGTGGCTCGCTGCCGGGCCGCCGATAGCAACACCAGCGGTCCTCTGGTTGCAGCCACCGGCAGACCAATAGTGGGCCACTAGCGGTCCGCAAATGGTAACATTGCCGAGACGACCACGCCGGCCGGCCGACAGCGGGCCACTAGCAGTAAACGCTAGTCACCCAATAGCAGACTGGTGGCTTGCGTGTAGAGTAGAAAAAGACGATGTGACAGGTAGTAATGGGTTACATGTATGCAGTAACACTCCTATAGTGACCTGACTTTCATTTATTTCAGCGCAGTAGATTATTCATCCGATTCTTCTTATTAGTAGCTTTCTATCTCACCCCGCATGTTTTCGATATATATCCTGTGAGTGTTTAATTCTCCAATCCTTGTTTTTTTTTTTCAAAAATTCAACTTATTCTGATTCTAAGTATTAAACGTCCTTTTTGTTTCTATCTTTATTACTATAAAGGTCTGTGAACGTTGCTTGTGTGTTTGCCAGAAGTCATATATAGAGGGTAGGAGAAAGAAAGGTATGAATTTATTATCGTGTAGAAAGCGGGGTAGATAAGGAAATGGAGAAAAATAAAACGCTCTCTCTTTCGACCCGCCTCTCTCTCTCTCTCTTTCCACCCACCTCTCTCTCTCTTTTCACCCACCTCTCTCTCTTTCCACCCACCTCTCTCTCTCTTTCCACCCACCTCTCTCTCTTTGTCCACCTTCCCGTGATTGCGTGTGTGCTTATTTATATTTCAGCTTTCTTTAAACAATATTTGAAATATTTTTTATTTCAACTTTTAATGTTGAAAGCAACTTCAATGTTTTATATGCTTTAAAAATACGATTTGTTTATACAGTATGTATTTTTATTTCAACTTTCTTCCAACAGACAATCTTTTAATGTTGAAAGCAACTTCAATAACTGCAAATAAATGTATATCTAAAATATCTCTATATTCACAAACTCTTCATGAAACTAAAGGTAACATAACAAGTTTGACGCAAAGAATCACGGGTAGTCTAGTTTTCCTTAAGACATTTCCGTTCTCCCATATCCTGTCCTTTGTTTTATTTTATTCTTTTATTTTGTATTTTTCTGCAAAACCACATGTCAGTTGCTTAAAATGTTCTCTTCATCTGTGAGGAAATTCTCAGCTAGTGGTATTACATAGCAGTTCAGTGTCCTAATCTTTGTTTTTTCCTGTTTCATAATACATTGTTTGATATTCCAATATAACTTCGGGTTCCAGTGGCACATTTTATAAGATCTGTTAAAAAAATTTCCGAAAGATTTAGGTTTTTGCACTTGCTTGATTTTGTCATCTCCAGTTCATAGTCCGCACTTCTGGTTGGTCCGTTTGCTGAAGATCATGCATTCTGTGTTTTTGTTATTGATAGATAGATATGATTGGTCAGTGGGTGGGATCAACTTACAGTCATTCTCTGAACTGGGATCAACTTACAGTTGATCTCTGAACTGGGATCAACTTACAGTCGTTCTCTGAAGTGGGATCAACTTACAGTCGTTCTCTGAACTGGGATCAACTCAGTTGATCTCAGAACTGGGATCAACTTACAGTCGTTCTCTGAACTGGGATCAACTTACAGTCATTCTCTGAACTGGAATCCTCACTAGATTTGTAAAGTGGCCAATAGTTCTACCCGCCTAAGATATTAATCGATGAAATCTCTCCTTTCCACTCGTCTTTTCTTCATAGGCGTGTTGGCTGGTTATTTTCTTGAAGGATCCAACGCCGAGCCCATAAATCAGATCCATCTACTGTAGCGCTACGTTCAGATCTGTCAGTTATTATTTTCGTGTACTTCCTTTTTCGATTTACATATTGTTCTTTATCACATTTATTTAAAATTGCCAGTATAATTGCTTCTGTTTCCATAGTAAGCATTCTTCGTGTTTTCTAGTTTTTCTCTGATAATTTTCACAACACATGGCCAAGTGTTTTAGACGTTTGCGTTCCAACCATAAAATCCGCGTTCGTATCTTGGTCGATGTCGCATGAGACTTCATGAAATTATAAATCTTTGGCTGTTCCACAAGTTGATGACCATATATTCTGTCTTCTTACAGTTGATGATTTCTTCCTCTTTTTTTTTTTGCAGCGTTTCCTGACGACATTGTCTCGGGATTTCCCCAGATACAAATATATATGAATCATTTTAGAATCGTACGGAATACTTTATTTTATCTATTTTTCTTTTTTGTTTTGTAAGTTCTCGTTGTTTGTTCGAAATGAAAATCAATTAACCTGATCTGAAATAGTGTTTTTTTTATTGCAGTATCTTCCATAATAAAATGAGTTTTTATAAAAAAAAAAGAGCATTTTGTATTAATAGAGCTAAGTGAATGCACATAATCCATTCTTTGTTCGTAATAGTCAACGCCAAGGAGCTGTTTATCACTAGATAAATGTTTAAAAAAAGAAACTGAGAAAACAAAGGCATCAGCTTCATGGCAAAAGAACACAAAAAGGATTGTTAATAAAAAGTTTGTTTTTTTATTATAACACAGATGTAACGCTTAAAGTATTGCTACTTAGTTTGCTTATGATAAAGAAAACGTCATGTATTATCAGCTGAGGTCTGTAGCTATATAAAAAAAGCGTTATTTTATATATATTTTCTTTCTTTTTCTCTCTCTTTCTTTTTTATTTCTTTCTTTCCCTCTTTTTTACGCAAACCAGAAATTAGGATTTTATTATTGCGAAGTGTTTTCAGAGTGCATTCAGTTCTGTCTATATTTTTCATACAGACAAGCATGTAAAGGTCGACCTTGTGGTGGCTATACTTGAGTATTTTTCTAACGGTGCCAGAGGTCTGTGTTGAGCCCAGATAAAAGCCAATATTTTGAAGACCGGCATTCAACGAAGGCCCGCTACTCTTTGAAGAGAGGCATTGTACGGGATTCCTATGCTTTCAATGGCCTTGTAAGTACAAAGGTAGACTCAGTATATATTGACTCAGAGACACACAACCGAACCAAATAGAGCGCATAGGTGTTCGCATATTTTCATTTTATTTATATCTGAATAATTTCAAATGGGGCATCTATTTTAAATACGAGTATCAAGTAAAATAACCTTTGAAATAATAAAAAACTGATGGATTAAAAATCCACTTTTATATATATATATATATATATATATATATATATATATATATATATATATATATAT